CCGCGTGGTCCCCGCGGGTTTGCGCCTGGTGCCAGCTCGGCACGTGGTCAGTCTGTTCGGTTTGATAGTCAGTGTGACAGTCGGTGGTTTCGAATTGTGTCACAGAATCATATCATGGAATTTGAGGGGTTGGAATGGACCTTACAGATCCTCTAGTCCCAACCCCCTGCGCAGGGACACCTCCCACCAGAGCAGGTTGCTCAAGACCTTATCCAGCCTGGCTTAGAACATTGCCAGGGTTGAAGCATCCACTACCTCCCTGGGCAACCTGTGCCAGTGTCTCACCACCCTCGCAAGAAAAAGCTTTTTCCTGATATCTAGCCTCCCCTCCTTTTAATTTGAATCCATTACCCCCGTCCTATCGCTAATCATGCTTCCAAATCTATATTCTTACAGTGTTCTTTGCCATACTGCTCAGGAACAAGTGAATTGAACGCTGTGGCCTTTGCTGTGCACTACAGGTCTCCAGTCCATGTGGAATAGCACCAAGAAAATATCCATCCTAGCTGTTTAATATAAATACTGCTATTTTCAGGTGCAAAGTATACTTATGTATATACTCCAAGTATCTCCATCTGAGTATACTCCAAGCTCTGCCAGGGGAGGTTTAGGTTGGATATTAGGAAGAGATTTTTTTAATGGAGTGACCAGGCATTGGAATGTGCTGCCCAGGGAGGTGGTGGATTCACCATCCCTGGAGGTTTTCAAGATGGGACTGGATGTGGCATTTAGTGCCATGGTCTAGTAACGATGGTAGGATTGGACTCGAGGATCTTTGAAGTCTCTTCCAACCTGGTTGATTTTATGATTCTATGATTCTTATGATTTGCATGTTTCATCTGTGTATCACAGCTTCTTTACAATGGAAACGTGATTGGAGCTCTGGGAATGATTAACCAAGAGGTGTAAAAGCAAGTTGCCTTGTGATGTGGAAGGTCTGTGTCCCCACTCTGCAGAGAGTATTTGGGGAAAATAATGCTGCTTTGCTTTACCAGGATACAGCTAGGACAAGTGCAGCAAAGGTTGGGATGTACCTGGATACCTGCGTGGTGGTGGGGCACTTAAATAACCACCTCCAGCAAAAAAAGGCAAAACAAAGTCACTAAAATAAGAACATGAAGGGATGAATAGGCAAGGGAATCCCTTACAGGACTGGAGGTGGTGACTGAAGTGGCTGCTAAAGGATGGGAAGTACAGAGGTCGTGCTGTGCCCCTGGTTGATGCTCCTTGCTGCAGCAGCCATGACAGTTTATCACATGACCATGAAGCAAAGGTGCTGAGGGACACCCAGCACCAGAAACAGAGAACATTGTTGAGGTAGGAAAGAGCTTGTGGAGAGAAGGAACCAAACAGACAAACACCTGGGCTTGACTGAAGAGGGGTTTGGGTTGATAAGGCCCCTCTGTTGTAGGTTCTTCTCTCTGTCAAAGTAGTATAAGCCCTGTAGAGCCATTCAAGAGACCTACTATTAAAAATTAAATCCCTTAATTATGTAGTAGTGCACTAGGAGAATTATTTGCATGTGTATGTGGGAGAGGTTTTTCCACTTTCTCTAGGGAGGTGAAAATGAGCCTTGTGTAAGAGCTTAGGCATTTTTCAGGGTATTAAACTCTCTACAGCATAAGTATGTTGAAAAGGTTTTGGTTTTGTTCAAATTGGTACATTCTTCTGGACCACAAGGTTACTCACCCAGTCACTTAAACCCCAAGAAATACACTTGGATTTATCCATAACTATTTTGCCTGCTTAGCAGGGAGTCTGCTGTGGCATTGCACGGCCCAGGTACAGACAATGCAGTATGTGCTGTGCAGTATCAGTAATGACCTGTTTGTTTTGAGACCCTGTTACTACTTCTGTAGGAGTAATGGAAGCGAATCCTAAAGGACATAATGCTATTGAATTTCTCCCCGTATTTTAATCTTTGCATGAGGTTCACCTTGCACCTTGTTTTCCAGCTGTGCTCATACACGGAGGAAAGGCAATAATTCCTCTCTTTTAATGTTTTCCAGGTTATTCAGAACTAATTCTCATGTCAGCAGAAAGCTCAACCATCACAGTTCGTCTCATTCGCTCCTTTGAGCACCGGAATTTCAGACCTGTGGTGTACCATGGAGTTCACTTGGATCAGACAGTAAAGGAGTTCATGACTTTTGTGCTGAAGGGTAAGAGGTGTTTGTTGCAGTCATTCCTCTCAGTCTCGTGTTGCTGTCTCTGCACAAGGAAGTGGAGGGGAGCAAATGAATGGGGATTCTGTGGCTTTGGTAGAGATGACACATTTGTGTTTGTGCTTTCATCCCTTGGATGAAAGGTCTGGAGTTAATCATAGAATCAGAATTTTAGGGATTGGAGTGGACCCTATAGATTGTCTAGTCCCAACCCCCTGCTATGGGCAGGGACACCTCCTTACTAGACCAAGTTGCTCAAGGCTTCATCCAACCTGGCTTTGAACACTGCCAAGGTTGGAGCATCCACTATCTCCCTGGGCAGCCTGTGCCAGTGTCTCACCACCCTCACAGCAAAAAGCTTTTTCCTAATATCTAACCTAAATTTCCCCTCTTTCAATTTGTACCCATTTCCCCTTGTTCTGTCACTGCAGCTCCTAACAAAAAGTCCCTCTCCAGCTTCCCTGTAGCCCCTTCAGATACTGGAACTGCTCTGAGGTCTTCACACAACCTGCTCTTCTCCAGGCTGAACAGCCCCAACTTCCTCAGCTTCTCTTCATAGGGAAGATGATCCAATATTCTTATCAACTTCATGGCCTCCTCTGAACTTGCTCTAACAGTTCCATGTCCTTCTTATGTTGAGGACACCAGAACTGTGTGCAGTATTCCAGGTGGGATCTCATGAGAGCAGAGTAGAGAGGGAGAATCACCTCCTTTGTCCTGTTGCCCACACTCCTTTGGATGCAACCCAGGATTTGGTTAGCTTTTTGGGCTCTTAATTAAAGCTCTTACTAAGAGCTTCCATGGTCACTGTGCCTTGCCTAAATTTGGATAGACTGCTTCCTGTGCCCAAATCCCCACCTTTAGTCCAAAAGAAACAAGGGCATTGCCACATTTGGCTCAGTGCCTCAGGCTCCTTGAGTGATGCTGTCAGGCAGATACTCATAAATTAATAGGAATAAATTAATAGAATTTGGAGAGCCTTTGATCCTAGGGAACTACTCCAATATGTGGAATGTGGGAACACAAGTCTGTTTGCTATTTGTGAGAAGAGAGAATCCTGTAAAATTGTTTCTGACACTGTGAGGTCTCACTGTCCATGTCTCTTTCTGAGTTTCTGTCTCCACCTTGAGCTTTGTGGTGCAGATTCACTCATCAGTGAGCTCTCTGTTTCTGAAGCCTTGTAGAAAGTGACAGTGTGTCCAAAAGTTAATTACCTCAGACAGCCCACGCAGCGACTTAGGGTGTTACCTGAATCTTGCAGGTATATTTCCACACATCTAAATGGAGACATTCAAAGAGTACAGAATGACATAATTTCTTTTTTCATTAGGTCGTCTTAAACAAGTCTTGAACTGTTACAGATGATAACACTTGAGCAACTCCTATGCCATTGGGACTCAGGGCTGCATTGGTTTTTTGGCAACTTCCACTCAGTGATAGGCACGGCAAGATCTTAGCATGCTTTTAGAAAACTACAAGCACTTCAGAACATATGGTACAGCTGCTGTTAGGAAGAAGAAAATAAAAAACAATGCTAAGAAACTTGCTTTTGATGTGTGCTCATTCCACAGAGGGATAGTGCTGTTCCTGGTCAAAAAAATCATGTTCCTTCCTTTACCGTAATCTGTTTGGAAGGTAGAGTTTGAGATAAATTGTTAAACTACTAATGAAATTGTAGTTTCAGCACCCCACAGGTGGCTGAGCCTTCTGAGGCCCTGGCTCAGTCCCTGGGTGTCACTGGGAATACTGGCACCAGGGAGGGTGTCAGTGTTCTTGCAGTTACTTAAGGGCTGTGTCCTGCATGCAGCTAAAGAGTTAATTTTCTACAGTTTGGCTTCCTTTTCGTGGCTGGTTCTCATGCCTGTGTTTACTGAACGACTCGGTTATGAATGACAGTTGTCAGCTGTTTGTATAAGGTAGAGAGAGATGCTGTGCAAACCAGTAAGAGAATATTCCTGGCAGATTTCTGAAGGCTCAGACTCCCGTGATCATATCCTAATTGCACTGACTCACTGTCCTCATGGGTTGTTTTGTTCAGAGGGACTTCATGCTCAAGTGAGGTTAATCAGATAGGGAGTTACTATAGAATCTGAGCCAAAGGTTGTGTTTTAGTATTGGATGTTCAAACAAGTCTCCTGTGTTGCAGATTTATTTTGATGTAAAGGATGTCCAGAATGCATACGAAGCACAATAATGAAAAGTAAAATATTGGAAATAAAGAAAAGAGAACTTTGTTTTAACTTGGTGCTTTTATTTTAATAGATGTGGCTTCAAGAGCAGGACTTCCTCCTCCTTTTAAAAATTACAAGTATGGTAGGTGGTTTTTTGCTTGCTTTAATTGCTGTAAAATGAAGACATAATATTTCATATAATTTAAAAGATAACTGCTGTAGAACACTCATGCTGGTGCCAGTGGCTGCCTGCATTTACAACTCTATCCAGCTCTTGTAGCTGGGCTTATGCCACTGGGAATGTGTCCACAGAACTTGACCATTATTTTGAAGATCTGCACTCATCTTTGAATTACGCTGCATGTGGTATACATTATTTGCTATTTGGTACTGAAGGTTTTTGGTATTAGTTTTTTACTACTTTTGTAAGTGCCTTTAACTCTGTCTTGACCCTAATGAGCAGCTTGTGGTCTCAAACACTTTGAAACTGTAGTTCTCTATGTATTTATGTACTTCTAATGGTGAAGTCAGAAAGGATGGTAAAGCAGGAGCTGAAGGCAGTAAGCAGAAAATGCTTAAGATTTATATAATTTAGTAATTTACACAATATAGGAGAAGCAGGGGAATGTTGCTCAGAGTAGATATGCAAGCTGTTAAGTACAAGCTGGTGCAATGAAATAGCCTGGTGTGAAATTTATTTTGACTTTATCCTCTAATGGAAAACTATGTGTGTATCTCCTTTTTGTGAAGATTGGCATGAACATGTGCAATTCATCTGTTTGGGACAGAGTAAATTTAAAATAGGCTAAATGACTTCCTTTCTTGGAGTTTGTTAACTTGGGTGTCAGTGACATATCTTTTCCTAAACTTGGCAATTCTGAAAGTTCTTTTGGGATTTTGCTGCAAAATGATCCTATGTCTCCCATGTTCTTGGAGTTGCAAAACTCCTTCCTCTACAGTGATTCAAAGAATTGAATGAGGCACCTGCTTGCTAATTGCCTATTAAAAAACAGAAGTCAAGGATTTAATTTTGTGCTCTTGCTGATGGTGAAACAAATAGTGCAAAATTAAACCTGAAAAAGAGTTAAGAATCAAGGCTGATGATGCATCAGCAGCAAGGACTTGAATGTTACTAGTAATTTTAATGTTACTTAAGGTATTAACATCTAGGTAACTCTTAAGTTTGAATTTGAAGGTGCCCTTCATCCCTTCTGTGGTTTGGCTAAATGAGGCAGTTCTGTCTAGAACTGCTGCTAACAATTGTATTCCTGGTGTTGCCTGTCCCTGATGCTAGTTCTTTCATTACTTAGAGATCACTTTGGTTTTTCCCAAGGCTTATGTTGTGGCTGAGTGCCTCATTGTACCTTGGAGGACTGAGCATAACTTTAAAACTTGTTACACCAGTTACTGGGGGCCTACTTGTACCAGGATGGTGCTAGCTGCTTGAAAATTTTCACACAGGAAAATCAAAGCCAATTTCCTCACCTTCCCCTTAGGCTGCCAATCATCCAGGTTCGTGTTTCTGGCATCTCTACTGTCTCTACAGTGTCCTACAGTCTTGCTTGTATTTTTGTGATGAAAGGGCAGTGGAACTTCTGCATGAATAGAATCACAGAGTATTCGGAGTTGGAAGGGACCCATGAGGATCAGCAGGTCCAACTCTTGGCCCTGCACAGGACATTCCCAAGGATCACACCATGTGCCTGAGATCATTGTCCAAGTGTTTCTTGAACTCTGGCAGGCTTGGTGCTGTGCCCACTTCTCTGGGGAGCTGTTCCAGCGCCCAACCAGGAATAGCATCAGTAAGAGTAGATTTTCCCTTCTGCTTTGTTCGGCAGTGCCAGAAATAGTTGGATCTGGCTGTCTCTCACCTTGCCTGTTTGAGCTTCCTTCTCTCCAGAATGCAGCATCACTTTCTTCTTTTACCATCATATATAATGCCATCACACTTTTCCTCTTGGATTGGTGCTCTGACTCACATCTCAAAGTTTATGACTTTCATTTTCTTTTCATTTCTTTGTACACATCATTCTTGTCCTTAGTGTAGAACTCTTCTCAGTCACTCTTGTTATCTTCCTTCCCTGTCTTTGCCATTTTTTCACTGCTGTTGGCAGCCTGGATGCCAACTTGTCCTATAAGCTGCTTCTCAGTTCTTTTCTCCATGAATGTGGAGCAATATGGAAAATGGCTCACAGAATCAGACTTAGAAAGTGATTTCCTATCTCTTGTCCTGAAACACCTATTATCAGAAAACGCAAGATAAAAACTTGGCAGTGATTGAGTGGGACTAAATGGAGGTGAAATAGCAAAGGGTAGTGAGAGGACAGACATAAGACTTAAGCTGGGATGAGAAGAGACTGTAGTTTCATCCCTGTAACAGAGTTAGATAAGCCATTTAAAAGCTCAGATGAAGACATGGCAAACTGCTGTGTGCCAGTGGTGGAGTTGTGAACAAGTAAAAGTGAGACAGTAGTTCAGGGAATGACTGGGGAAAGACTAGAGAACAGAGAATGTGGCAAAGTAGACAGAGAAACTTAAAACTAACAGGCAGAAGATGAGTTGTATTTTCTGTGGCAGAAAGGTTTAATGGTTGCAGTGTATTTTTGATGGGATTGCTTGGTCTTTTTGCAATGCTTCTATGCAATTGCAATATCTGGCAATTGCAACTTAATGTGTTACTTGCTCGCAATACTGCAGTTATTACAGAATGCTGAGGCTATTGTCTCAGTGACCTCTGCAGAGGGAATGCAGAGTAGTTTTTACCTTATGTGTTGTTTTAAATACAGTGTTCTAAACGGGCCAGAGTGGTATGGAAGCAAAATTCTGAGGGGAAATGTGATCTCTGTAATTCTGAACATCTGAGTACTTGCTTTGGGGAGTTTGAAAGTCGTTTTAGCCTATATTTAACTTTATTGCATCCTTCTCTTACCAGACTATTTCAACACATAGTGTTCAATTAATGCACAAAACCAAACTAGAACAGAAGATGAGCAGGCAAGCTGAACTGGTTTTTCTTCTTTGCTGGGAAGGGATCGATGTATTACTCTAAATTTGTTCAGAGTTTGATTTCTGCTTTTTTTTAAGCACTGCATGGACATCTTCTGACTTCTAGTCCCTCTGGATCTTTGCGCTTATCTGGTTGCTTTAGTGACCACATTATTTTCCCCTGTTTTTCCCTTCTGTCAACAAAGCCCTGCCCACGTTCCCAGATGAAAGCAATATATCTTTCTTTTTTTGTATAGCATAATTTCTGAAAGTACTACACTGCACAGACTTATCAGAGATGAAAAATGCTGACGAGGGTATAGCATTAAAAAGACAAGAGGCTGTACATGTTCATGGAAAATGAACTTGCTTAACAAAATTTCTACCGTGGGTGATTTATTCATGAAGGAAAATTTCAAAGAATGATGTGAAGTGGTCAGGTTACTGTATCTTAATCTTTTGCTGCCTATCAGCTTAACTGTAGTAGTCGTAGTAGTGTAGCATAAATGCTGTTTGTCCTGCCCTAACTGCAGGTGTAAAACCTGTTAGGTTAAAACATCCTAAGTGGCATTTAAACTGATGTGTTTTGACTAGCAATTGGGACGGTCATTAGTGAGTTATTGTAATTCACCCAGCAGGCAGAAGCCCAACAGGATTTGGCACCTTAATGTTGCATTGCCTGGGTTAAGGCTGTGGCTGCAGGACTGGGAGATTAAGATGCTTTCTCCTCTTTCGGGTTGAATACACAAAGTTGTTCATAACAAAAGATTTTGAAGCATCCCCCTTTGTTTGTCTGTCTTTCCCCAAGTACAGCTTTGTGTTATCTGCTTATTAAGCCTTTTTTAAGGAAAACATTGTATTTTCTTTCAGATACAATGAAGATTATTCACCAAGCACACAAATCTAAGGTAAGCTTATTAGCTGTGTTCTTCCCCTTCATGCTTTAGTGCAGGCAGATCTCTGCACTGTCAAACAAGACTGGGGCAGAGGCAATCAGTAAATTCTTATTCTTATCTGTGTATTCTGGTTCTCTGATTTGTAGACTGGTGAACTTGTAGTGAGTTTGGAAGATGATGACAAACTGATTTTGAAAGAAGACAGTACACTGAAAGCAGCTGGAGTAGGTAGGAGTACATTTGTATTGACTGAAGGTGCTGCTCATTGTGGTTGCATAAAACTGATAAGTGGCTGATTATGTTTGGATAGGCTGCTGAAAAGTAAATGTTATTCCTGATGCTCTTTACACGACTTGGTAATTATTCAGGGAAGAATTATTCAAATCATTGGTCTGAGGGCAGCAGGTATCTGCACTCCAAATGTTCAGAATGCAAATTGTGATTTTTAGAGGGTATGCTTATAATTCTGCTGAGAGTAATTTTAAATGATTGACAGATAGGTTATTAGTACCGTGTCTGCTTAGTCTTATCAGTAACATTTAAACTGATGTTTTGGTTAGAAATGTAAGTAGTAGAACAGGCATGGAATAATGAAATAAGATTAGATTTGTTTAATGTGCAGCATACAGTGCCTGATAGCCAAATTGCTCAGGAAAGCTTGAGCAGTATCATTTAGAGAATGTGCTGCACATAGCAAAGAGTTGGAACTTGACCTGATTTCTCACATTTTGACAGGAGACTACATATAGGGCATGTCTTTTGGTAATAATGTAAAGAAATGTCTGTCATGATAAAATTGATGGTCCCTGGATGTCCTTTGGGCTTCTCATGAACGTGGCTGAATGACTTTGTGGCAGCTTAAGGGATGGAGTTGCATTCCACCTTGGTGTGGACGTTTGCTCAGTTGAATGTGATTTGCCTGAATGCAGCACTTAGCTGCCTGTGCTCAAAGTGCAGGGGCTTCACCGAGGATGCTCCCTCTTGTTCCTGGTTGCTCCCCAGCTACTGAATGGGATTTCTTTCTCATAGGTTTCTTAGCTCTTTTGTTTCCTGCCATTTACTTTCTGGTTTTAAGTGACTTGGGATGTCTCTTCCATGTTTTTCTCTGGGGTGAACAGCAACTGGTCTCAGTATACCTTTCCTAAAGGTTTTTGGGTGTTCCAATAACATGAATCATAGTTATTATCTGGCTGCTTTTACTAAACCAGCTCTTTTAATCTGTAGGGGAAAAAGAAAAGGATTACCTGCACTCAAGCCTTATAGATTTGTAATTTAGTTAGCAGAAGATTCATTTAAGCATGATTTTTATCTACTAAGGCATAAGAGGCAATGCAGTTCAGCAAAGGGAATGATGAGAGTGCCAAATGTTGAATTAGAAACACTGTCAGAGCTGTCTTCTTTCAAAAAGATACTGATAAATATTTGTCTGTATTATCCAGCTTTGAAACTGAGTTTGTAGCTACAGCAGTGAAAAGTTGGATGTGGTCTCAAAAAAGGTGTCAAAACATCAGACTAAATGTTACAGTGAAAGAAAATAAGAATAGAGCAGCCTGTTCTGTGTCCTTGTGCAAAGGGAGGGGTGGTTTGTTCAGCATAGAAAATTATTTAAAACTGCTTTTTTTTTTTTTTTCCAGAATAACCAACAGCAGATAGTGGCTAGTGTATAGAGGATATTCGTGTAGAAGAGGAAGTCCCTTTCTTTGGAGCATGCATTTTGAATTTTGATATGTTCCAGCCTATCTTGGTGTGAAAATTAGCTAAGTTAGGAGTGGAGTCTTTGTAGTAAAATCTCGAAGATTTTACTTTTCAACAGGAAGCAGAAAAGAGTAAAGAAAGGAAGTAAAGTATGACAACATACACCACTGGTCCTCTTTGTGTATTGTTTCTTAAATCCATAAAAAGATTTGAAATCTCCTATTGAGATATTACATTTTGCAACATCTAGTTTGGACAAGATTTCCTAGAATAAAACAGAGAATCTCCATGAGAAAACCTGGGAAATTCTGAAACATGCAGAACGTTTTTTCTAAGCTGCAGCTAATTGCCCTTGGCACTACACAGGGTTGGGCTGGAGAGTTATAAATTATGAGGACATTAGATAAGTATCCTCAGGAAAGCCTCTGTGGTAGTGATTATTATTACAGTTATTATGTAGTCAGCAAAGTTAATGCTTGCCTTTTTTTTTTTTAAGCAGGCTGTATGTTAATAAAGTGTTCAATATTCATTGCAAACAGTCTTGTCTGTTTTCTAGTTGAGATTCTAAAATCCCTTCTGCTCTTTTTTCCCCTCCTTTACAAGACAGGCAGACTTCATTAACTTAAGGTTTAATTTAAAAAACGAATGTGGAACTTATTGGCTCAGCACCTTGAATTCCATGTTTAATAATTGTGAAGGCTTTCCATCAGATTTGTCTCTGTTCTGAATTAGTAATGTTGCTGACTTATTGTTTTAGAAGAGGAAGTCCTTGACCTACTGGGTTGAAAGAATTGTGACTGCTCTGAACCTTTGTGGGTCCTTTAGCTCTGCCATATCCCCTGTGAATAATTAGAGGTATTTGAAGGTATTGCTGGAGAAGCCAATTTGTGTCTTTCACTTTGCATATTGTTGAAGCCTCATGAATTAATCATCAGCAGGGCAAAAAATTAACTTCTTCAGACACATATTTTGATGGGTCATGAGGGAGAATGTAAAGTGATCTGTAAAATATTCTACTGATCCTCTAAGTATTAAATTATTATACCTACAGGCTAATTTAATGAAAAAAAATAGTTTCTTTTCCTCTTTGCTAACAGAAAAATGCACAGAAAAGATAATATCATGTTTTATTATTTTCCTAGCACTTGAAGGTGTTAGAAATGCAATCACTTAATTTGCTGGATGCTTATACAAACAGTTCTGCAGGCTGTGTTAAACTAATCTTGAGGGGTCTTGTGCACATATTTACTTCTCTGTGTTCGTGTTCTTGGTGTTTTTGTTTGTTTGGTTTTTAACAAGGTTAAATAACATCTTTAATACTGGAATCTTCTTTGCAAAAATACGCGGAGGAAAAAACCCAAACTCGGCGGTGATTTATAATTGCCTTTGACCAAAAAAGTTGCAAATTGTCTTCTAAGAGCCTAAGTAGGTGGCTGCTGTTGGGTGGTTCATTTACTGGGGTGCTAAATATTTAATTTTTCATTCGTTCCAGCAAATGAGACGGAATTAGCATTCTTCTGTGAGGAAGATTACAGAAACTACAGAGCTAATCCTGTTTCGGCCTGGTGAAGATCCCAAGAGACTGTTTTGTTTTCCCATACCTGTTGTAAATTTTCCTTATTCTGCTTAATGAGGATTTTTCTGAACGATCAATAAATCCTGGAGGATTGCTTTGCAAACAGTGCAGTTCCCTTCCTTTAGAGATTAATTTCTGTGCGTGTGCTAAGGCTGACGGAAGGAAAGCTGGGGGACATAAATGACTTCTTTTCTTTCTCATGCTTCTCTTCCCTTTGCTTGCCTCTTGCACGGCAGGCAGTGCCATCTCTGACCTGTGACAACGTTCTGGGTGTGATCCTGCAGGAGGCACTGGCTGCATGTGGAGATTGTACAATGCACAGTGAGATCCCATCACAGTACTAACTTCTAATGAAAATGAAGAGAAACTTGCTTCAAACGGAACGAAACGTTTCATGACCAAATCACTGGGTATTTTAAACTGCTTGAGAAGAGAATCTCTCTGTTTCAAGTCATAGCTTTACTTCTCTCATCTTATGTTTGGCCTCTTTTGTTTAAATAGTACAGGCTGGCAAGTGTTTCATGCTTTTCGCTGGTGAATGCTTTCCATTATCCTCTCTTCCAGCCCTCTTTAGCATGCTGAAAGGGACAAATGACTGTTGGGAGGCTTTTGTGTTCAAGGACCAGCTAGTTTCTAGCTTTACTTCATGGAGACACCTTCATTTAAGAGGTAACAACTCGAGTTCTGCCACGACATCAGTGAGCCTAAGTAGGAATTGGGCATTTTTCCAAATGGAGTGAAAGCTCCTGTTTTCAGTTTTAAGAATAAAACCTGAATGATTGCATTTTTGCAAGGGGAGGCCCAGTCTGTGAGCCACATGTCTTCAAGACTGGAATTGATTCCTTCCTGCTTTCCATGAGCCAAATGCTCCGTTGCTGTGTGTTTGTCCTTGGTAATTCCAGGCTTTCCTACTACATGAACCAAATCGACACTAATAGGAAACAATCATGCATGCAATAAAGTACCTTTAGTTCAATACTACTTGTGAAGTGCTTTTTAGGGGGTACCAAGTCAGGAAACTCTGCCTTTATGCCTCTCCTCATTGCCTTAGCTGGCTCTTTGGGCATAGGCTCTGCTAAATCAAATGAGACCTCATGTGCAATTGCTTTAGACCTACACATCTACCCTGCATCTCTGGGTGAGAGCTGACAACACGATTTCCACAAGAGACTTTCCAGAGAAGTAAATTTGCCATTTCCTAGAGCTTTGATTATTTTTTTTTTCATTGACGTGATATGGAAGCAGATGTGTTACTTCCAAAGTATCTAAATAAAATTCCTCTTTACTTTAGATGTAGGGCCAAAGAACCCTCTATGTGTTGTTCTTATCTCATTTTCTTCATCCCTCCTGACAGCTCTCTGGTTTGGGTTGTTTTGGGAGCTGGTGTTACTCACCAACAGCTTTGCTTCAGAGTTTTATTCTCTTGTGGAACTACTCTACCACTTTTCCAATGGTGAGTAAAAGGGTGATTATATCTTTATCAGGTAAGGAGGAGTCCTGTGTCACTGTAGTCACCTGTGTTCTCTTGGGATTTAGATGCTGTTATGCATAGCCTGATGAATTTATGAGGAGAATTTACCTCTTGCCTCCTCTTCTGTCCAGACTGTCTCTGTTGCTGGTACCTGCTTCCCAAACATGGATCCACATCTCAGCTACCTTCTTAAACCGACTCATGTTTGCAGATTAATCTGGCTAAGTTTGTCCTCATCTTCTCAGACAATTTAAGCTAATGCATTGCACTTCAGACTATACCAGCTTTGTTCAGCCAAATTTGCAATAGTGAAGGTAGCTCTGTAAGTCTGGAGAGATCAGTGTCTCAGCCTGGCCTGCCAAGGCACATAGATGATGTCTGTCAGCACACTCAGGCTCTCAGACTGAGCAAACACTGCCATTCTTTTCTTCCTGTTCTGGGGATTTGAGTTTGGTCTCCAGCCCTTTCAGGCAGATTTGAATTGGTTTTGTGATCCCTTTTCTCTAAGGCATTTGTGTTTGAAAGAGTCACCACATTTTAACAACTGTCCTTTCTGGGCTTGTACAGTTCCAAACTCAGTGCCACATCAAGTGTGGCACAGTGGCAGAGCAATTCTACAGCATCAGTGAGAAAAAATGTAAATGTTCTAGTGCAAATATCCCAGAATGATGTGCCTGGCACTCCAGATTAGCTTCTTTTTCCAAGGGAAGAGTTAAACTACTGCTTTGTGAGCTCAGTTCGCTCTGGCAATGGCACTTCATTGGCTTCTTTCTGCAGCAGCACAGTAGAGCCTTTTGTGACCCTCTCAATGGCCATACTTGTAAACTGGTTTCTTCCTGAAGTGTTTTTCTACTGTGTTGTTGTGGGGTTTATTTTTAATTGGACCCTTAATAATTATTCTTTCAAGTAAAGCCCACAAATAATAACTGAGAACATGTTAAGATAGATGCTGTACCAACAGTTTTTGGTGGGATATGGAATAGTCTTGTGTCAAAATAGGTTTGATTCCAGCATTGCTGAGTGCTGAATGAAATCAGTGAACACTGGCTAATAAATTAGTTAAGACTGAGATGTCTTTGCCTATGTTGTTATGAAATCCTCTTTGTATTGAAGGAAATCACAGAGTTGGTACTGTGGTTTGTTATCCTGGCAGATCATTGGTTTACAATTGCTTTTAATCAGAGGTGTAAGTCATACAGCTTCGCTAGTGTTAGACATCATGGGGTTAACCACGATTCATCTTACAGTGTGATGTTGTCGGAGCCTTTCACCATGGTTTTTTAAACAAAAAGAACAATATCCAGAGAGGATGCTGAAATAGGATGCAATTTCTCCTGCGTTATAGCACTGTAGCAGGGCAGTGTGTGGGGCTTGGTTGTTTCCTGCAGAAAAAAAATGACTTCAGAGGGACTGGAGTTTCGTTGAGGAGGTGTGAAAGAATAGCTACAAAAGAAGAAGAGAGGAAATTATGAAAGAAATTATCATGAAGAGGAAGAAGAGGTAACAGTGTAACTGAATAAACATGCAAAATCTGAATTGTGCAACACTCTTGGTGCAAAGATATCAGAGAAGTACTGCTTTTTATAGCATGAAAAGTATAAAACCAGTGCTTTTGAATAATTTTTGGAACTAAGCTCATGAACTGCTGGAATAGGCATCTTGTTTTTTCTGGCTTTGTCACATTATACTTTCTGCATCCAACAGTTTTATTTACATTTCTGCCCAGAGGTAGTTAAGTTGCCTCCTGAAGAAGCTACAGTTAAGAAAACTGCTGACATGGACAGCTGAGTTAAATGTTAACAGTTACCAATGGCGTAAAGGAGTCTGCAACAATCTGATCTGCACCACCAGTTGGGGAACTGCTTTATCTGATGTAAAAAATGAGCTTGCAAGTAGCAGTGCAAGAGTGACCACAGCCATGCCAGGACTTCCATGGGTCCTGTCCTTGGAAGCTAAGAGCCACAGAGATCCTGAGTGTCCAGAGATGCTGAATGAAAAACCAGGACGAGTGATAGTCACTCCTGGTCCCCTGTGACTGAGAGGATCCTGGATTCAGAGCATGGCAGATGGCTGGAGGCATTACAAATGCCTAAGGCAAGTGTACACTTTGCGTATTGAACAGTTTGGACTGAGCTCAGCCTTCCTGGTTGGCATCCAATCCTCCTTCCATTGCTTCCTTTTCATAGTACTAGGCACACATTTGCAAATGATTAATGAGTCCAGAAACGATGCCCAGTAGACAACTTTGCTACTTTTCTTTTTGTCAGGACACTGACTTTCCTCTACTCCCTATTTCCCACTGAGTTAGAGAAACAGACACACCTTTGCATGTTACCCCAACCACTTCCCTTTGCTTCTTGCTGCCACCTCTGCTGATTTGCACTGCTTTAAGGGTTAGGTTTGCATCTCCTCTGATATGCAATAGCAGCATCTCCTCAGGGAGTTAATGTACTTTTTTTTGCTATTTATTCATGCAGAAATATGCTGTGAAATAAAGACCTTTTCTACACTGTCACTCGTAGTGCACAACAAAGGATCCTTTCTTGCTTTGTAGGAGGACTTGCATAGGACAGCACTGTCCAGTGCTCAGTGGAAACAAAAATGTTTTTATCATCATGCTTTGTATCTTGGAAGGAAACTAAGAAATTATATTACGAATGAAAAAAAAAACCCAAAAGAAAAGCAGTGAAAAGCCAAGGTCTCTTGCCATGAACTGTCTCTGCCTGCAGAGAGAGCCACCAGATGTCAGCACAGCCTGTTCTTTCCTTCTCCAGAGCCTCTGTAAGCCAAGAAATATGTAATGTTTAGGAAAAGTGCTTATCTGTGAATTGGTTTAGCCTGTGAAGTCTGTGCTATGTTTCTGGTGGTGAAAGCTGAATCTTTCCTTGCAGAAAGTATTTCTTTTTATATTGAAATCAAACAGCGGCAAATTGAACTGGTATCAGTGCTTAAATTCCTCTTGTTGGAGAGCATCCTTTGTGGAGCCAGTTCCCAGCGTGTCTAAATCTTTGCATGCTGCGAGGAGGCATTTGCAGAACATTCACTTGAAGAATTGTCTGGAAAAGATCAGTGTTAATTTGCTGAGGTTTTGTAAAGTAGATTTTAAGTATGCCTATTTTTCTTTTTAAACACAAGGAAAACCATCTGGAACAGACACATGCAAAGCAGAGCAAAACATCCTCAGCCACAGAGCTTAAACACACAACAAATGCATCCTCCATGCTTCTGACCTTAAGCTCCTGCTATTTCTTCCTTGTAGTGCAAGGGCTAAGGAGAAGCTGGAACTGTGTTCTCTGGGCCATGTTTCCTGAGCTGTGATGAGCTGTGGTGGGATGTGAGTTTCAGAGCCCAAACCCAAGCACTGTGCACAGTTTTATGCTGTCAGTGATTGAAGCATGCATAGATGTTGCCTGGTTAAAAGGGTAAATTTGAATTTTTGTACAGGGACAAGGTGTTACAGAGCTTTCAGCTGAGATTCCTGTCACTTTTCTTGCAGCAGCTTGCATATGCCAGGGGGATATTGAAGAAAGGGAAGTTAAAGTGGCAGGTACAGCCTGGGTGCTGTAAATTATTCCTTCCTTCTGTTTTGGGCTGCTGCTTTAGTTCCTTTCTTCTAGCCTCATTGCACTAGTGTCATGCTAGGGGTTTACCACAGCTTGCTGAATATGGGAACTGCTTATTGATTCCCAAC